TTACCTTGAATGTACACCCTGTCAGCCCAAATATGGGAGAAAGAAATCTTCTTTCTTTTTCTTTTCTTTTGCCTGTATCAGCTCAATCTAGAGCCATCCACAAGCAGCAGTCTCCAACTGCGACATCATTTTACATTTTTAGGTTGCTAACAAAGAATAAAGAGAGAACTGGTATAGCTATTTCGAGTTCCATTAACTCTCTTCAGCCAGACTTACTCTGTATGTATGTATGTATATATGTATATATGTGATGACCCAGGGCCCCGAACGGAGGCAAAGCACTTAGCTGGTCAGAATAATTGTCTTTGTAAGCACTGCCAACGTTCACCCAACAGCCCCCACATATGCTGGCACAAGTTCAATAAAACAGTCACCGGAGTTAAACAGTTCTTTAAAGTAAAACAGATAACAAAGTATGATCTTTTCCATGCCCAGATTGCCTGTAACCTGCAAACTGCAAAACTGAGGACAGCAAGGAGAACTCAGCAGGAAACAAACTTGATCCAAAATACAAAGAGTCCAGGTACAAGGCTCACATCACAAGAGTTCACGTTTGTTCCTGGCAAATGCCCCACCCCACAGCGTCTCCTTAAATACCTACTCCCCAGGTGTGCCTTGTGAAGTGGGGCGTGACACTCTCCTCCCGAGCAAGTGAGCCTGCCTCCATTGTTCCCTCCTCCTCTCTGCTCTCCTTGCTCTGGGATCTGGTGGGGAGGGGCCTTGCTCCTCGCCTGAGCTCTGCCTTCCCTGTTCCAAACTTGAAAGGCCCTGGCCTGCTTCAGCCTGTTCCTCCCCACAGTCCTCCGAAGCCACAGATACCCCCTCCTGGGCCTCAACAGGGACCTCCATGTCGTTCTCAGAGTCAGGCTTGGACGGAGGCATGACAATATATGTATATATGTATATGAGCACTGCATATATTGTGACCATGAAAACCACTTGCCTAGTTCAGCTCCCTGGGCCTTGATATTGTATATGTATTACTGTATCCTGATTCATCTAAGTCATGACTTTTTGACTCCGTGGGCTACATCTGTTGTGAGATTAGGAGCCAGATTGCGTATGCAGATGCATATATCCATGCTATATAATATGTACATTAACCTCCCGAGGGGAAACACTGGGAGGAAAGAAGGAACTGAATGAGTGATGAATCCAACTTTCCCACCCTATCAACAATTCTGCCTCCAGACCAGATTTCCCATGATGGGTGATCCTGATATTGTTATGCCAAGAACAAGCTTCACAGGCAGATGTTTCTAGATCGGTCCTTTCTGGAGGATATAAACGAAAAAATGTCCAATGAGCAATTCCTCAGCCAATGCATACAATATTCAGGAAAGTAATAAATACTGAAATATAAAGCTATAAGATTGATAACTATTTGTTTTTATAGAAAAAAAAAGTACAGACTATCCCAAGAAGTGTTAGATGAGCTCAGGAATGCAAAATCTAAGGCCATATCACTAACTATAGCAAATCAGTAGATAATAGGTCATTGATATACTATATAACAGAATAGTGATTATTTAACCTTCTAGGATGGAGTGGATTGCTTACCACCACATTCAATATAAATGCGCATATTCAAGTACTTTTTTTTTCTAGATCTGGATTTATTATTTTGTTTAATTTCACATGTGCCACCCTGAGAATGATCTCATCCCAACAATTATCTCCTGCACAAAAAAAGAACATTTGGAAGTCTGAGGAAAAAAACAGCACAAGTCTGCCACCTGGAGTGAGTCTTCTATAAGACCAATAAATGACTTTGAATAATGATTTTATATACTGTAATACAATTGATGTACATCATACTTTGCTAAGTGTAAAAATCCTATGTATATCCTACAGGCAAATCACAGGGAGGCCAATGGATCTTTTCCTGAAGTACAGGTAGTTCTCGACTTTCAACAGTTTGTTTAGTGACTGTTCAAAGTTACAACAGCACTGAAAAAAGTGACTTATAACCATTTTTCAAATTTCAACCATTGTAGCATCCCTGTGGTCATGTGATCAAAATTTGGATGCTTGGCAACCGACTCATATTTATGACGGTTGCACTGTCCCGGGGTCATATGATCACCTTCTGCAACCTTCTGACAAGCAAAGTCAATGGGGAAGCTAGGTTCACTTAACAACCAGGTTACTAACTTAACTGCACTTAACAACTATGAGAAGATTAGGCAAAACTCACTTAACAAAGTCTCACTTAGCAACATAAATTTTGGGCTCAATTGTCGTAAGTCGAGGACTACCTCTATGTGGCTTAATTTTGCAATGTAACAGAAGAAAAAGAAGAAAATGTGGAGAACCTTTCTTTCCAAAAGAGATTATATTTTGAATTTGAATAATGATTTTATATACTGTAATACAATTGATGTACATCATACTTTGCGAAGTATAAAGTCCTGTGTATATCCCATAGGCCAGTGATGGCAAACCTTTTAGAGACCGAGTGCCCAAACTGCAACCCAAAACCCACTTATTTATCGCTGGGTGCCAGGTGGGTGTGGCCCACTGGGTGGACGTGGCTGTAGTGGTCATGGTAGATTAGGTGAGTGTGGCCAAGGTGGGCGTGATCACCTCAATGTTGTTCGTGGGGAGGGACGCCTATGGGGGCCGGGCAGAGTTGGGGGAGATCCAGGGGGTCTCTGGCAGGTGGGGCGGTGGGCAGGAGGCTCGTCCTGTGGGGCGAGGCAAGGCAAGGCGAGGCAGGGCAGCCATTGTCACAGGGCAAGGTGAGGCAGGGGCCAGTCTGGCTGCTGCCTGACACCATCAGCCCCTGCACACAGAGGCCAGTGAGCACATGGGTGCTGGGATACATTCGGCCCTATGGGACCTCGGCAAGTTAGTGGGCAGCTGGTTGAAGAGGGATGGTTACCATTTCCATGGTGCGCGTGCCCACAGAGAGGGCTCTGAGTGCCGCCTCTGGCACGCGTGCCATAGGTTCGCCACCACTGCTATAGGCAAATCACAGGGAGGATGGATGAAATGAGTATAACAACAACAACAAAAAAACCCCACTTAATCTTTGTTTCATTTTTAGAGGAGAACTTGTTCACCTTAACAATGTATTTGGCATTGATGCTGTTCAGCTACTTTTCTAAGAAGGTAAATGGGATTCTGCTTTAATGTTGTCGAAGGATCTCTCTATCAAAAGCTTCCTTATAAATTAAGTATCTTTGAAGCCCCCACCTGTCCTTGTATTAATTTGTTGGCCTGCCCTGAACTCATGCAAATTCCAGAGCTGACTTGAAATCTGTCAGTGCATTCCCAGGATGTTATGAAGCTCCTGTGAGTTTGGAGAAGATGGGCTAATTAACTAGCAGCACTTTGTTTTTCCAGGATCTACAAAACAGGCAGTTTTACACAGAAAGGGACGCCTCTTCATCTCACACCTCCTGAATTTTCTCCTGGTTTTTATACAGGAATAACCAGAGAATGCCATCACTCCTCCTCCTCCTACTCCTCCTCCTCCTCCTCCTCCTCCTCCTCCTCCTCCTCCTCCTCCTCCATTACTTTAAGAAGCATCTATGCTGCTTCCTTTGCACAGTGACTATAGGAAGGAAACTGGTGCAGGGAGAATGAGGGCAGAGAGGTACCAGCTGGTAGCTGCTTTTTACAGGCTCATTTCCTCAGCCTCAGAGTTCTAATCCTGCTTTAGGCATGGTATGAAAGCCAACTGGGTGGCTTTGGACCAAGCACTCTCTCAACCCCAATCCACCTCACAGGGTAATTGTGGGAAAATAGGAGGAATCTTCATTTAGTATTAAGTATGTTCACCACCTTGAGCTATTTACAAAAATAATAAAGACAGGCTACAAATAAATAAATCTTCAATTAACACTGCTTAAAAAAAATACCTGAAGTTACAATGATTGTCCTTTCTAAAGTCCTGTTTTTAAATCAAGCACTTCCAAATATTGTACCATTACTTATTCCCTTGGTTTTCTGTAGAGCAAATGGTTTTCATTTTTACATAATTATAACAAATAAAAGCATGGTAAACCACACAATGTAAACCAAAGCTTGATGAGAGCTTACGCATACCAAATATTTAAAAGTACTTTGATGCCGTTTAGTTAAGGCAATTCATATTATGAGGAAGTCAAATAATATTTAGCAGTATCAATTCTAAATTGAAGCACAAGAGATTTTTAAAAAAAATATTCAGGAAAAGAATTTTGGAGATGAACTGAAACATTCTTTTTGAAGTTTTCTGAGACATAGGATTTGCTTTAAATCTATTTTAGTAAGTCAGCTACAGTAGCTGATTAACAAAATAATTCATAGATGGCGGTACACTAAAATTGCATCATGTAAACGAAGTTTTCTAGATTGCATAGTAGGGGAATTTAAAAGGATGATCTAAGGATCTGTTGAAATTTTTGTTGTTTTCAACATCTATTTCTTGTCTGCTGAAAACAGACATGAAACAGGCATGAAAACAAAAAAGCAAAGTACATACACGTGTACATAATTTTTTTAAAAAAAATTAAAAAAGCAAAAAAAAAAGGATCTTTGCAAAATAATTAAAAGGGAGTTCTGGCAGCCCTCCCCCGCTTTCTCCGCCAGCTACTAATTACTTGCATATTTTTATCTCCTACCTGTTTGGGTCATTTTAACCATTATTACAAGTAAAACAGTTTCTTCAGTTCTTCTATTGGGAGTTTCTCTTTTTTTCTAAACAATCCCCCGTAATCTAAGCTTGCCTTGCAAGGGTGACACGCTATACTATAAAGGAACCCTTCCTGACCGAATAGTCATCATTCTCCCTTTGCTGCAAATCCTTCAATTCCGTCGTCTTCCATCCTGGATTGAGGGCCAAGTTTCTCTTTTCCAAGGCTGAGCGTTGCCTGAACAGCGAAGAACCAACCAACCATTGCCAACTCAGCACCGTTTCAAAAATCTTTCTTGGAGACTCCCGCGGGCGAAAGGCGACAGCAGACCCTGGATCTCAGTTGTCCGGCCGATCTGCAGAGCCCTCTCCTGCTCCTTGATGCAACCCGAGCAAAAGCTCAGTGCTGGAAGAGGTTCCTTCTCGTCCCACCCCCCTCCCCGCCTAACAAGGTTTCGAGGCAACCGCACCACCTTCTCCCTTGCAGGATACTTGGTATAATCTGTGAGTCACAATCCTCCCCCTTGGCGTGACGCCCAGCCCGGTGGGTTGAGGTTAAGGGGGGAGGGGGAAGACAAAGCTGCCCATCGGAGGACTTGTCGGGGAGGGGAGGGCTTGGGGTGGGGGGGAAATCAGTGTTGATGACACTATGAGGTAGGAGGTTGCTGAAGCAGGATCGTTTAAACGAGGGGCTTAGGCAATCTCTGAAGCTCTTTTTTGCCCCACTTACTTCGCTTTGGGGGTAGAGAGGCGTCTCGTATAGTTGTTTTCCTTTAGATGTCCCGTGGTATTTTTTATCTTCCCCAACCCTCTGTCTAAAGTAGTAGATTCAATATGGTTGGGACAGCTCAGCCTCGGCCCACGTACAGCTTAACAGATTCCACTCCTGCCCGGACAATTTGGGTCTACCGTAACGGGGATCCGTTCTACTTGGGGAGGAAATTTATAATCAGCCCTCGATACGTGCCCACCTTTGAAGCCTTCATGATCCAGCTGAATGAAGGTGTGCCAACACCCTTTGGGGTGCGGAAGCTCTATACACCCAGTCAAGGGCATATTATTACAGACCTACCGGAATTGCAGCAGGGAGGTAGATATGTGGTTGCTGGCAGGGAGAAGTTTAGGAAGCTAAAGTAAGTATGAAGACCGGACCATTGCAGTCCTTTTGGATCTTACAAGTTTTGCTCAGGTTATCTCAAGGTGCAAAGTTTCTTTTTCTCTCCTTCCTCTTCAGTTTTACTAGATAACAATCCAGCTAGTACAAATTTCAAAAGAAAATCTGCACGGTGCTAATTTTAAACCTTTATCCAGTACTGCCAAAGGAAAAAAAAAAATGCTGATAGCAGAGTTTAGCATAAAACTGAAAATATTAGTGCAAAATTCAAAAGTCCTTGTTGCAAAGATTTTTTTTCCTGCACCCTTGTGCTAGGCCAGGAGTAGGCAACCTCGGCTCTTTTATGACTCATGGACTTCAACTCCCAGAATTCCTGAGTCAGCATAGCTGAATTCTGGGAGTTGAAGTTCATGAGTCATAAAAGAGCCGAGGTTGCCTACCCCTGTGCTAGGTGAATGCATTTGCCTTTGCAGTATTCATAATCTGCATTAGAAACTGATATTAAATCAGTGGATTTATAGCTTGCCTGATAGATACCAGGGATTAAAAACAGCAAATAACGGTTTTAAAATCCCACAAAATAGAAAATGTCTCAAATTGTTAGATAATCTAGAATTCTTATGTAAGAAACATTAACTTCTTTATATTTTGCTTTTTGCACTGTGTTTTCATAGGCGGTCCATCTTTGGAAGTATATAATTGTCCTGCACCAACACAACCCAATTTGCTAATTTGATATTCCTTATTCCTTTCTCTGCCTTGGATTTATTTAATTATTTAGGGCTCAAGTGCAATATGAAATTCAGTCTGCTCTCTTCCCCTTGCCAAAGAGCAACAGAGACCCTTCAATTTTATCTTTGGCCAGAGTTTTTGCCATTGATTGTTGTGTGATCCCAAGCTATTGATTAGTTCAGAGAAAAATGGGTAATTCACTAACCAAGCGATGTGTTTGGGAATATAGCCAATGAGTAGAGAGCTTTTACATGCTTTTTTCTGGAGCAAGGAAATTAAGAACAGAGGCACTACAGTATATAGGCCAATAAGTGGATCTCTACCTTGGGTCACTTACTTTCTGCTTGTTCTTAAAACAGTGGAGAGTGATTAAAAACTCTGATTTGGCTTAAATAATAGCTAATTTTAGGAGGAGTTGTAGTGATTGGATTGCCTGTAAACTAGTGGCCAGCTGGTAAAATCACTTGCTTACCATCAATTTAACAACTGCCTACATTGTATTGAAAGAACTTAGATTCATTTTTATGATAATATTTCATTGTTCACTTGGTTAAAATATGTTATTACTATTAAAAAACTGGAAATGACTTCCAATATATTATACACAGTATTGTAAACTTGTTCTCAAAATCTTTTGTCTATATGCAAAATTATTCATAATTAAGACTCATTAGAATCATTGAGACTCACACATTATTGACCATTCAAAGTTACAACAGCACTGAAGAATGACTTATGACTGTTTTTCACAGTCACAACCTTTTCAGTATCCCCAGGATCATGTGATCAAAATTCAGACCCTTGGCAACTGGTTCATATTTATGACTGCTGCAGTGAATTTTTGATTTAAAAAAAATTGTGAGATTTTGGCATTAGCATTTTAAAGCTTAATTAACAAAAAAACAAGGTCTTGGTAAAAATATGACTACAAGATCAACATGATCTGATGAAAAAATACCTGGTTTTAAAATTGAGAAAATGGTTAGATATTGTCTTGATTAATACGAATTGTATGTTGTCAAAATTAACTATGTGAAAGTATGGAATGAAGTTAAAAAGGATATGTTGAGATAGAAAAAATTTGCAGTTGGGAACTGTGATTAAGATAAATATTTTACCTAGAATGTTATTTTTATTCCAGACTACCTTGACTGATGTAGCATTTAAGCAGTGGCAAAAAGATATTTCCAAATTTGTTTCGCAAGGCAAAAAAACAAGAATTAAATATCAAGTGCTGCAAGATACTAAGGAAAGAAGAGGGTTAGGACTATCGAATTTGAAACTGTATTTTGCAGCTTGTTTTTGTTTTTTTAGTATGGATGAAAGAGTGGGTGTCTCTAGGAAATAGGCCGTTATTGGAATTGGAAGGACATAATTTAAGATTTGGTTGATACAGCTATTTGTGGTACAATAAAGTTAAGGTGAATATAGATTTTAAAAATCATTTTATTAGATGTGCCATATTGAGAATTTGGAATAAAGCAAAATTATCTCCTAAAATCCATTGTCACTCCAAGGACACTTTTGAGAAGGGAAATGATATTTAAACAAAAATGGTTAACTTATGTTGATCTGCTGAGTTGGAAAGTTTTACATGCCATTGGTTTCCCTATGCTCAGTTAATGAGAAGATTTACGCTTGATAAGAATTATGAATTTGAATATGGTAAGACTAAATTTGATGTGTAGTTGTGTACAAATGATCATATTGTTTCTGTGTACACTTTTATTGAAAAGGAAATAGGATGAACAAATTAAAATCTGTATGATAAAATGGGCATCAAACTGAGGGTACATTTTTCATCTTTGGTGGACATACAAGAAAGTTAGGAAATATTAGGATCAAGCATATATTCTGATGCTGAAGATTTCAAAAGTTAATGTACAATTGAAACCAGAGATTTTTCTTTGGGATTTAATTGACATGCAAATGGAAATTGTCTTATGGAACTTTGCTTTTATATACACTATGATAACAGCAGTGAGACTTTTACATGCACAAAGGTGGAAAGACTTACAAATACCTATAAGGGAAGAATGGATGGTGAAGCTGATGGAATTGATGGGGATGGTGAAACTGACAGCTTTGACTAAAGAAAACACTGGCTTAATTCTATTTGGAAGCCACTTTTGGGATTTTTGTGAGAAATTGAAAGAAATGAAATGTTAATTTTGGGATCTGATGATTAGAATTATGCAGTATGATATGAATAATATGGATGGATGGATGGATGGATGGAAGGAAGGAAGGAAGGAAGGAAGGAAGGAAGGAAGGAAAAAGTGATCAATCTCTGTTGCTCTATACCAGTGGTTCTCAACCTGTGGGTCGGGACCCCATTTGGGGTCGAACGACCATTTCACGGGGGTCGCCAAACAAGGCTGTCCGCCATTTTTTCCCCCTTTTCTTTGGCCACGCCCCTGGCACCCGGTGATGTATAAGTGATTCGGGGTCACCACAACATGGGGAACTGTATTATGGGGTCGCGGCATTAGAAAGGTTGAGAACCACTGCTCTATACTGTTAAATAGAGCTCTAAACAGAGCCACAAAAATATATAGTGGCCCAATTCCCACGACATGTTTAACTTGAAAAGCGAGTTGAAGGTTTTGTGTGTCCTAAGAATAACAAAGGGTCTCTTGACAAGTATCCTTAAGGAAGTTGGATTTAATAAAAAATTAGCTCAGTTGTACAAAAACTAATTTCTCATAGTCATCTAACTCCCTTCAAGTCATACAAACTATTTATCTGAGAGTTTATTTCTGAGCTTCTGTTGGGACTTCAATTCTTGAGTTGTTTGTTTCTCTGTGTACCTTTTATCTCCTCCACAGAGGATCACCAAAAGTAAAAAGCTTTGTTAGAAATGTATACAAGAATGATTAATAATAAAAATTGATCCTGTAAAATAGACATAAATGGGAGTTAATCATCTCTTTAGCCTTTAGATCAAAACTATTTCTCATGCTTATATTGTTCATCCTTTTGGGAATAAATTATATTGAAATTCTATGACTTAAAAATTTCTCAATTGTATGTAAAGATATGAGCAGTGAAATTATTTTTCTTGAACTAACATTTGTAAATAATGACATTTGAAGTAAACCAACACTTCAGCCCAAATTGTTTATTAATGTATTGTTACTTTAGCTTTTTGTTGTTGTTGTTGCAGAGTTATTTTCTAGTAGTATGGTACGTGGATTTTAGTAGTATGGTACGTGGATTTTAGTGGACTAGTAAATAGCAAAATCTGTGCATACTGTAGTAGTCAGAAACTGATATAGATTTAGGGTTAGGATTAGATAATGATTAAAATTTATAATCTGAGTCAGACCTTTGTATCTCCCTATTATTCGTGTTCTTCTAGTGTTTATTACTACATACATTTTTTTTCTCTAGTAGCGGCATAACTTAGTTCTGGCATTTGATTGAAGAGAATCTGAGTAAATTAAGCTTCTACATAAGGCAAGATTGCTCTATTGGACCAGATTTCTCTTTTAGATCCTATTTACAAGTTGATTGACAAATTAATGAAAATGTGATGTGTTATACTTTTCCGCAGTTACTCTGATATAGGGACAAAGAAACCTCAAAGAAAGAAGAGGGATGAGGTGGTGAGTATCTCATCAGTGCCATGTTCAATAATTTTCTGAAGGAAACAGTGACTTCATTTTATCAATTTGTCATGTACCAACTTAATTTAATTCACTATGTTATGGTTTAGTAAAATGTAGAAATCCTGAATTTATTTTACCACTTTATATGCCATAGAGAGCTCACATATTTAGCCTACATTTGATTACAATGCAGCACAGTAAAAATAAGTGCTATAATTAATTGATAAACCATAAATATGAATGAATACACACACAATAAGTTGCAGTCTTTGGAAGAAGAAAACAATTTGATCCTTGAACTACAGAGCCCATGTATATAATCTAGTGATTTGTATAATTATGAAAATACCTTCATGCTTCACAGGAATTGCAGGCCTATTGATAGTTTAAAACTATTCTATATAATGGAAAAACACTCTGCCTCCTCCTCCATCAGCATCTCTGAGGGCCAAAGAAAGAACATGATACTGATGTCTCTAGAGGTGCACATTAAGCTGTAATGTGACACAATCTGTTGTAAGATCCTAAACATTGCATTTTATTCAACAATCCAAGGATATTCAATCTGTGGCTTGGTGTAATATACAACACCAATCATAGAATTGTGGAATTGGAAATATCCATATCAGCACCTTAGATGAAGCTAGAAAATGTACAAAACTTACTCAACAACTTCCAGTGGAGCAAATGTTGCAATGGATTCAACATTCCCTGCACAGCACAATTCAAAATATTTCTAACCTTTTAAAATAAAAACAGTAGGGAAAAACATGTCCCTTGCTTGCTCCCTTGTTTTTCACCACAGAAGTAGATAAGATGAGGTTCATGCTGACTGTTACCTATGATATGTACAGAAAAATGGTCAAAGGAAAGAGTTTGTGCCTATACAGACAGTCACGAAACCAAGAAAGAACAGCATAGAGAAAGAACAATAGTAAATGAGGTTCATTTTGACACAGCTTGCAAACCAAAGCTACAAAAATGCACTTCTCTCCCAACTTGATTCCCCCCCCTTTCCCTACACCAGTGATGGCAAACCTTTTGGAGACCGAGTGCCCAAACTGCAACCCAAAACCCACTTATGCATCGTCGAGTGCCAGGTGGGTGTGGCTCATTGGGTGGGTGTGGCCCATTGGGTGGGCGTGGCTGTGGTAATGGCAGACTGGGTGGGACTAAAAAGTTCAATCAATCAATTCCAACTTTCCCCTGTGAGAAGTTGAAATTGACTGATTGACATTTTTTTTTTTTGCACACGGTGGTGGAGGCCATAGGTTCGCCACCACTGCCCTACACATAGTCTACACATAACGAATGTTCCTGCATTTAGCAACTATCAACATCCAGAATTGTTTCTGAATGCAAATAACAGTATCCTATCTGATTAAATCAGTGGCTGGAGCTCAGCAAAGACGTGCGTAACAGCATTTATCACTGAGTGTCCTCCATACAAGAAATAGCTCTTTTTTTTCTTAGCAGCATTCCCCCTCCACCCCAATTCTGTCTTCATCTAATCACTGCTGCCAGTAATAGCAAGAATGGAACCCTGGTTTCCAATGGAAAAGAATGTTTTAAAAATGGAAGGTAATTGCAATTTGTAAAACAACAAGACAGGGACCTTTATGTGTAAGAACTATGAGTGTCATTCAGTCTGGATAATCAAAATAAATTCCTGGATAAGATTTCTTAAATTCTAAGGGAATGTTTTTTGCAATACATTCTGGTCAGAATTTGAATAATTAGAAAGGCACTTGGATTTCAAATCTGGCCCTGTCTACAGATGTGTGGGTCAAGCATGAGCTGGCTTTTAAGATTCTGGAGTCTTTCTGTCTCTTGCAGATTCGACCGGTAGTCCATAGTAATATAAAAGTTCCTTCCAAATGGCAATCAATTTATAATAAACCAAGAAATATTAAGTGAGTATTTACTTTTACATTTGTTAAGACTATAAGTTTGTAAGAGTTCTTACATTGCCATTTATGTCCAACTGAAAAAGCATATATGAAGATGGTTTGAGGGTTGGGCTAGAATTCAAATCCTGTTCAGTATAGAACAATAAGATGGATAAAAATGCCAAATTCATTATAAACATCTGGATGAGTATATGACCAACCATAATAACTTTTTAAACTTTTGGGCCACCGGACTCTAAAATGACTCTGGGTAGCTCACAACAATCAAAGAAGTAAGTTTGGGCCTAATTGTGCTTCTTTCTTACTTGCCTCACAGGGCTTTTCTGGGCATAGGGGAAGACAATTTTGCATGCTGCTCTGGACCTTTTGGAGCAGGTGTGGGATCAAACAAACAAACCAAAAATCATAAGTCAGTTTTCTCCAATCTGGTATCTTCCAGGCATATTTGTTTATCTGATGGGCAAAAGGCTTGCAAGCAAATAAAAGAGGTCAGTTTGGTTTATGCAGGAGCATGCAAATAGTAATTTTTCTTGTTTTTTTGTTGCAACTGGACCACTTTAGCAGACAACAAATTCTTTTTTATATAGAAGATCCTGAGGAACTCATGTTTTCAGTACTGACTTTTGAGTAATTTATCCATCTCACTTTCCTGGAATTACAAGAATGATGCTACGTTGATAAAGTTAGCACTAATATCAATCTTACTTTTTCAGACTTTTGGGATATATAAAAAAGAAAATGAAGGGACGACGTTTTATAATGTTTACAAGTGGGCTTGACTATGCCTTTATTATGATTGGAGATGGATCTTTCCTTACATGTATTATACTGTATAAGTGCCACTAAAATTTATTTCAACAAAGAAACTTTAATATGTGTATAATGAGAGTTCCACTAGATGGCCCCAAATATCTTATAAATGCAACTTCCATTGCTTTAGAATCCTGTTTTAAAGAATCAGTTGGACACAAATATTTGACCTGAAACCAGATTTACGTAATTGAGTTAGATGGTTATTGAATACATTGTAATTTTGGTATGTTGCTGTACTAAGAACCATATTGGAATGTTTTTCCTAGATAATATGCAACAGTTTTAATAATATTTAAAGCAACAATCTACAATTGCTGCAAATAGTTTCAATGATATATTGTTATAGATAAAGAAGTAGGATGTGAAACTGAGAAGTAGATGAATTTTCCAGAGCTATATAGTGGTATCACAGTATTCTTTAACCCTTGAAGTTAGATGTATTTTATATTTTTCATGTAATGGAACAGATACACACTTAAGTAAAATGTTTAAGGGAGTTAACAGCAGTATTGAGAACAATCCTTTGCATACCAGTAGCAAAGCTTGTTAGAAATTCCCTTTCCTTACACACATGTATGTTTGAAAAGAAAAAGTGATTATACTTAATATTTATTATTTCTCTCTTTCTCTCTCGTCTGTCTGTCTGATAAATTATCCAAATTCACTCATTTTAAACAAAGATTTTTGTATCTACATCTTAAATATAGTTGCTTAGAAGCATACTGTAAGTCTCATTGATTTCATTTTAACAATATCTGGATCAATATACTATAGTGCCATAATAATTCTATATATCATTACAGTTTGAGGAAGAAACATTTTCTAATAAAGGCCTCAGTTAGAAAAATCAATTGATTTTATTAGCTTTTTAAAAGGAGTGTACTTTATTTCCTCTGGGAATTGTTGAGGGCATCTTCAGTTGGTATAGAGAGAAAATAATTACATTTTCAAAGGCCAAATCTTTCTTGAGTTCTTCAACTAGATACATTTATATTTTTGAAATATGAACATTAACAACCTAAGGAGTTTAGAATTTATTCAATAAATTAAGATTTAAAATTTATTGCTGAATCTGGGTGGATCCTTAATGAAATCATCAATGTGATTTGCTAATGTGTCTTATTAAAATTAGATTTATATATGTTTGTTTTTGACAGTGTTTTCACAAATGGAGATACCTTGATACCACCCATGAAAATCCTTATACCTAGATTTACACTAAATAATTGGAATGGTGTCCTTACACTTGTAAATGAAAAAGTAGTTCCTCGCTGTGGGGGTATTCATAGGTAAGATCATTTTATAGTAACCTTCTATAAGAAGAATGAAGAATGGCGATTAAGATAGGCGACTTTTAATAACTATAACAAAACAGATCACACAGATCCAACAAAACCACTTCCGAGAGTGCAGTTGCCCCCCCCCCTCCCGCAAATATGGAGCCGCATGAATACAATCAGCACAGACTATGCCAGAACTAAGGCAAAACTCTTTAAGTGGGTAATGACTGAGGAACCCACAATGTAATTGCTGCACCGGAGAAAACTATAACACATATAACTCAAAAATGCTTCCTCGGGAAATTTCAAAGCACCTGGGTTTATTTCATTGCAATCACACCAGAAGCAGTTAGATGGTTAGCTTCCTTAGATATCGGATTATAAATCTATCCCATTGGAATTTTATGGCTCCATATTATGGTAATTTTATTATGGTTTTATCTTAATTTAACATTTTATCTCGTATTGTTCACATATCTTTTATATGCATGTGTATGTGTATGCTGATGCTTTATTTAAAGTAAATTTGTATATCAGGGATTGCATGAACTCTGATGCCATATGCTAAATAATAATAAATAATAAATATTAACCTTTTATAAGAGTGGACTTAATATATTAATTTTTGCCCTTCCTAAAAGTACAGTTAAATTAGAACTTTAAGGCAATTGTAATAATCAAAATATTAGTTTGCAGAAATTAAGACTGCTGTCAGTCCGTTATTCATTAAAGTGGATCTGCTTTTTTGCAGGCTTCCATATGAGCTTAAAAAGAAAGATAAAGTTGCATGATTAGAAACTCTTAAAACAGAATTATCTTTTTCTCAGGCTTGCACACAATCTGTGCTTGTGCTTACACAAGTTCTGAAGTAGTTTTGAATTGATTTTGAAGCCCTATTCTCTAGCACCAAAGGCACTAATACATCAGAAGAACCTTACTGCTGAATCAAATGTATAAAAAGTGCTTTGCAGAGTGGCTAAATACTAAACACTCTATCAGGATATGAGGACAATAATTTTTAGACCCTATTGTTGGTACTAGTGGTGGCTGACTGCCCTAGTACAAATACCACATTTCTTAAATTTTCATTTTTTGCTCAGATTACTGTTTTCCAGAGAGCCAAATAACTGATATCCACTGCTGGGAATCCCTTCTCTCCTAAACTATACTTTAATATATACTTTAACTATACTTTAATTTAGGACTTATAAAATTAAACATGCTTTATAGTAAAACTTGTGTTGTTGAGTTAAGGAATTATTGTTAACAAAGAAAGAAAGAAAAAGTAAGGTTCTACACTTAGGCAAGAAAAACCAAATGTACAGGTATAGGATAGGTGGTACCTGGTTCAATGGTAGTAATTGTGAGAAGGATCTTCAAGTCCTAGTGGACAATCACTTAAATATGAGCCAGCAGTGTGCTGCAGCTGCCAAAAAAGCCAATGCAGTCCTAGGCCGCATTAACAGAGGGATAGAATCAAGATCACATGAAGTGTTAATACTACTCTACAATGCCTTGGTAAGACCATACGTGGAATACTGCATCCAATTTTGGTTGCTACGATGTAAAAAAGATTTTGGGACTCTAGAATGCAGAGAAAAGCAACAATGATGATTATGGAACCAGAGGCTAAAACATATGTAGTAAAGAACAGTTGCTGGAATTGGGTATGTCTAGTTTAATGAAAAGAAGGACTAGGAGTGACATCTGTGTTCCAGTATCTCGGGTTGCCACAAAGAAGAGGGAGTCAAGGTATTCTACAAAGCACTCGAGGGCAGGACAAGAAGCAATGGATGGAAACTAAATAAAGAGAGAAACAACCCAGAACTCAGAAGAAATTTCCTCACAGAACAATTAATCAATGGAACAACTTGTGGATGCTATAACACTGGAAGTTTTTAAGACGAGATTGGACAGCCATTTGTATAATGGTATAGGGTTTCCTGCATGAGTAGGGGATTGGACTAGAATAACTATTCTGTTATTCTGAGGACCCTTTCAGATCTGTAAACCATAGTTTGGAAGAATCCATTGTTCAATTTGTTTTTGCTCTTGAATATTTAAAACTCCTGTCAGTCTTCATGCACACTAAAGGAACGTGAGATTTCTACATGCATCCGGGGTGCATGATTTGGCTTACAACTTAAGTAAACACATTTCTTTGCAGCGTTGCCAATGGATATAACTGCAGGCTTCAGGTAAGCTCTTTTACTCTGTACTTGCCTGTAACTTGCAGTAAAGATCTAATCCTCGTTTACACTGAAAGGTATTTTAATGTGTATTGCTTTTTTCTACCCAGCCTAAAAATTGGAATTAAATGCAATGATTACTAATTTTCTCAATATTAGAACCAGAAAATTATCTCTCCATTGGTCATTGTTTCTGTATATTTTCATAGTCATCTTAATTCTCCTTTTATAGTAATTTCATTATTGTACTGTTCCTTGTACCAGTACTTCTCTCTGTTTTGGCTTTACATATTTGAATATCTAAGATAGAATTCAAAATATAAAAATAAACGTTTCACAGTGAGTAAAGTTTATAATGTCATTTAGGTATACCTATACCCATATTAATTTCCTCTCCTTTGTAGATTGTTTACTTTAAATGGTCAGCCTGTACATGGACCTGATAAATTAGAAGATAACCAATTTTATATTGCATGTGGCAAAGAAAAATTTCAGCGTTTGCCATACTGGCAACATCCTAAGGTTCCAGAAAATATTCGTCGGTAAGTGCGTTCTTATCTAAACTGATCTTATGTCGCTAGTTGCTGAAAACTAGCTGAACCAAAAACCTTATTTTTCCTAGAGTTAAGATAAAGATTAATGATTATTTGGATTGCATGTATTTTGCAGGAGTTATTTTTTTTCTGAAATGAAAAATATGAAGTTGATCTGCAGATTTAAATCCTCCTTTAACCCAAAGCTTTTTAAATACACTCATTTGTCTCTATTATTTCTAATTTGTTTAATATTAGTTTGCTAGAATAATAAACTACCTATTTAATATATGATAGCTTAATTGTTAATATGTCAACAATATTGAGTTTAAACATTCAAATATTTTTAAAACAATAGTATCTAGCTCATGGTTGCTGTTCCTTTATTTTTTAATTATTGAGGACATGCTTCTGATTAATATATTAGTCACTGATTTTATTATTTTGTTCCATATATGAGATATGTAAAATATTATAAAGTAACTTATTATTCCCCTGCCATTCCACAATGTACAGTATAAACCATTTTTAATGTTCATACATTCCACAATGTATAGGTTTGGAGATGATTACTATAGAGAAATAAAAAAAAATACCACTCTATATCTATTGTATTCTAAAGAATATATTTCTATTAAGTGGGTAGCAGGCAGTCCTTCTATCATCTTTAAAACCATGAAAAAAACTAGATTGAACCCACTGGGTTACAACAGAGAGAATACTCTAAATAGAATTGAGGAGCTTTTAAAAATATGGAAATTCAAACTAAGTAAGGCTTGTTTTCGTCATATTTTCTGTAATATTTCTTCTGGTGTCTTTTTTTTTTTAACCTCTGTTTTTATCTCATGGGATTGAACCATCCCTGCTGCATTCTTCCTTTCTAGGATCAAGATAAGCTGTAGTAAAGCAAATGTATTCAGATCTAGTGAGAAAAAAACACACTTTATAATCCACTAAAAATTAGCCAGAGATTCACAGCTAACTATTTTCAGTGCATTCAGTTCAATTCGTTGTTGGAGATTCAGGTTCAAAAACATCTATTCTTTATCATGGTCTTTATGATTCACAGAGTTGCATTAGGAATTCTCCAGAGCTCGTAATGGCATGTTAGTCCTTGAGCTCTTTCTTTTGTTAACAGTTATTATACAGTTTATTGCCTTACAGAACCTGTTTTGCTAAGTGGCAGCATTGCAAAAGTAAACTTAGGAGAAACACAAACTGGGTTTCTTTGCCTCAGTGAAGATCATGCAGTACCTTCATGTACGGTAATTATTCTTCACACTTGTTCTTCCCACTTTTGGGGGGAGTAAGTTAAAAAGCAATAGGCTTGAAAACTATTGTAGCACTCTGATTTAACCACCAATGAATCTCCCCCTTCAGTACATAATCTTTGACGTTTGCAGAAAACTAAAAACCACCCAAATTGTTCCCTATTATCCCTACATATCATATTTAATATGCTCCCATCTATTAAACTTTGAAATGTAAGTAATAAGAAGCAGAAGAGATTACATAGCAGGCAACAATTTAAAAAAAAAAACAGTGCAGCAAAGTTGATTCATTTTGGAGGGAAAAAATTCATAGATTTGTCATTTGCAACTCTGCTGCAGTTGGTAAAATGTATCTGCAATAGGAAACCACCATAAAATATGGAGTTGAATAAGATGATCTTTATGAAGTAAAAGCCCATGAAATGTAAATGTATTGTTTTTATGATGCTACAAATCCTTTGTTGTTTAGATATTACCTGAATGTCATCCTAAAATTTCTTTTCTTCAGATGAAGAATATTTGCCCACTAAAAAAAAATGCAGGATAAAAAGTATGCAAGGATGTTTCCTTCTAGATCCTTAACATCACTATACAGATAATACTAGGAAATAGTGGGAATTGTTTAAGAAAATAGCAATTTATATAATTGACCATTTGAATATCAAGTGATGTTTGTAACTTGAGGAAAGAATGAGGCGAGTGGGTATTTCTTTATAAGCTAGTGATCATATAAATATTTTCATGCTTCTCAGTATCATCATATCATATTTTCCCAAGAAGAATGAAGTTGATAAAAGTAGCCAAACAAATACAAATTTTAAATGTCAGTTTATCGCCTCTAGAAATGTGTGCACATTAATCAATTGAAATCAAGAGGGGTGGAGATAAGGCTGTAGTTACTTAATGAGGTAGTTAGAAATCTGTTAGGAAGACTAAATTACAAGTATATCCAGACTAAAATATTTTAATTGGTTTGGCTCAGTATTTTTCAGGTATAGACTAAGATTCCTAGGCCTGCATAAACATAAAATATCAATAAGATGAACTAATTCTGCAAGATGATTTATGCATTCTCACTGAAAATTTTATGGGGCTGAAATACTTAGCTGTAAGTAAACATGAGATTAGCAATTGATAATTTTACTTCACAGCATGCCAATTTGTGTATTTATTAAAAGAAATTTAAAAAAAATCAGGTGTGATAACAAAGGGGTAACAAAGGAAGTGTCTAGGGAAAATGGTGCCTATAGGTCATATGAAGAGAACTTCCAGAAATCAAATTATGGATGAACTGTAATAATAGTAACTAGGGTGTGTTAAACTTAGTAATTCAGCAATGAACTGCTTCAGAACATTCCAGAATGTTCCCTTCCCTTCCAGACATTGCCAGACTTCTCTAAAACATGTTTTGTGGGCAACTTGACAATTTCTCGAAGTAATTGCCAAATTACTATCTGAAGCTGGTTTGCAAGGTCCTGGGAGTGGTCTGGCTCTGAAGCAGGCCTGTTTCATTTAGAACTTTATGGGATCTGAAATATTCTATTTCAGTGATGGCGAACCTTTTAGAGATCGAGTGCCCAAACTGCAACCCAAAACCCACTTATTTATCGCAAAGTACCAGGGCCGCATCAGCATTGTGGTGTCCTCGGGGAGGGGGGCAGCAGGGTGAGCGTGGCCCACTGGGTGGGCATGGATGTGGTGGTCACAGCAGACTGGGTGGGCATGGCCAGGATGGGCGTGGCCACCTTGATGTTGCTTGTGCGAGGGATGCCTGTGGAGACCGGGCAGGACTGGGGGAGATCCAGGGGGTCTCTGGTGGGTGGGGCAGTGAGCAGGAGGCAGGGGCCAAGGTGGGGATGCCATTGCCGTGGAGCAAGGCAAGGCAGGAGCCGGGGCAGCTGCTGCCTGACACTATTGGCCCCCCCACACAGAGGCCAGCGACTGCATGGGGGTCGACGAGTTCTGCCAAAATATGTCAGCATATTGAAAGTTTGAGTGTGACCTGCTGATAAATGTTTAGGGCACGGGTGTCAAACTTGCAACATCACGTGACATGTCACGACATATCATGACTTTTTTTCCATTGCCGGCAATGGGGTGGGTGCGGTTTTGGCGTGACGCATCCGGCCCATGGGCCGAAAGTTTAACACCCCTGGTCTAAGGAATATGACGAATAATTATTATATTAATTAAATTTAATTAAACTAAATTTGAACAAATTTAGTTTTTATCCTGACTTTATTTTTTTTGTCCCAGGCTCATAAAAGATTGCATACTACTGCAAATTCTTAAATCCTCTATTCTCTCACCTTTCTACTTCTTTAAAAAATGTTCTCATGCTCACTACTGAGATTATAGTACTGTACTCTGTGACCAACTAATCTGAGAGTTATTTATGAATCTGAATGGTAGTTCTGACTCCATTAAATAAAGATAATTACAATAATATTATTTACAGTTACATTTATAAATAATTATTTAGGTAAATTATCCTTTGCATTTTAGGAATTTTTTGAATTCACCAGAAACTCCAGAAAAGCCCCATTTGAAACAGGTAAGAGTTTGTTTTAAAATGCTATGAAATATGCAGTGCATATATAACATTAACTCTGAATATTGCTTGAGCTCTAAGTCTAATGGAGCTAAATTTATATGGGGAAATTCTCAGTCTAAATGATTTTTAGTTAGTACTCTACTATTTTTGCATATCATGTATTGCAAAATAGAATACTATAGCATCACAGCACAAATGTTATTCTTCCCTTAAGGCAGTGCAAAAAGCAAAATCTTGGTAAATCCCCAAAATATAATAGTCAAATACACCAACTCACTGGCAGCCAATTTGTTATATAAATGCAGCTTATACAAGGAAGAGTATCATTCCTGGAATTAGCCGCTTGTCCAAATCTAATGGCACTAATTCTTCAACATCATATGACCAATTGACTACCATGGACAGTACAGAGTTAAGGATTTACTCTGTGTCCCCTCTTAGTTTTACTTTGCTGATCTAACATCCTATCTTTCTTCTTATCATATGTACAGCATACAGGGTGTTGGGCTCTCCTCCTCATTACTGCATTAAGCTAGGTGCTGGTAGAAGGCAGGATAGTAGGGGCTGCAGAGTGCAGGGAAACAGAACAGAATAACACAGTTGGAAGGGAAATGGGACCTTGGGGGTCTTCTAGTCCAAACCCTTGCTCAAGTAGGAAATCCTATACCATTTCAGACAAATGGTTGTTCATTTCTCTTCTTGAAAATTTCCAGTGTTGGAGCACCTGCAACCTCTGGAGCAAGTTGTTCCATTGATTAATTGTTCTCACTGTCAGGAAATTTCTCCTTAGTTCTAGCTTGGTTCTCTCCTTGATTAGTTTCCATCCGTTGCTTCTTGTCCTGCCTTCAGGCGCTTTCGAGAATAGATTGACCTCTCTTCTTTGTGGCAGCCCCTTAGACGGGGTTGGAAATCATGTGACCTCTGAGCTACACTAACAGCCCAAAGTTTGAGGGCGGGGCATAAAAATGATTCAGTCCCTTGTACCTTTGAACAATTGCTGAAGAAAAGGTCATTAGAAATAGATACTTTCTAACAAAGGAAAGAGCTGTGCCATATGTTCTGTTTCTCCGGTCCACTTCTCTTTGTCACCATTGGACTGGGAGCTGATGTACTATATGGTTTTACTTTATTTTTTACTTATTTTATTTTTTATTTTACTTATTTCGCCTTCAGGTCAGTGTTGACTCTTGGCGATTGGCTTGACTCCCTGTGTTTTCTTGGCAAGGTTTTGGAAGTGGTTTGCCCTTTTCTCCTTTGTAGGGCAAGAGTGATTGGCCCAATGTCATCCAGTTGGCTTTGTACCCAAGGCAGGACCTCTGTGCCTAAGAGAGAACTAATGCTGGGTCTTCCCACTTGCAAATCAACACCATAACCTCTACACCAGGGGTCCCCAACCCCTGGTCCAGTATCGGGCCGCGGCTTGCCAGCAACTGGTCCGCACAAACAAGCAAAGCCCCATCCATGGGATGCAGGCAGCACACAAAACCATGTGTCCTCCAGTCCGTGGAAAAGCCTCTTTCCACGGAACCGATCCCTGGTGCCCAAAAGGTTGGGGACCTCTGCTCTATACCACTCTGGCACTCCAGTGCAGAGAGAGAGAGAGAGAGAGAGTTCTGAACACCAAAGAAATAAATCCATCATTTTGGGATTTGTTGTATCTGTTGCAGCCTCCTATAGAAACACCTAAGCAAAGAAATCGTATTGTGACTCCCATAGAAGTATCAAGACAAGGAGGAGGAGATAGGATCTCTGTTTATTATGCCAAACCTGAGAAACCAAGTCAAGAAAGACAGGCTCCTAGACCTGTGTCTCCCAATGATGGTAACATGACATAATGTACGGTAGCTGGTGCCTAAGATTTCAAAATGACATTGGGTCTTTTCCTACTTGCACATAATTGTGGCACAGATTTGATTTGGCAGTGTCATTTTTTGCTGTGTCTCCATGCTGTTTTGTTAATCATGCTTCTATCCCACAAATAAGACAGAGTGAAGTCATCTTTCACTATACTAGCATTAAAATCATGTTTTTTTCCTTACTCAGCTTGAAGATGTATAAAATCTATTAAGCTTTGTCATCTTTATTTTGCAGCAGTGTTTGTCAACCACAGTAGCTTTAAGCTGTGTGGACTCAGCTCACAGAATCCCTTAGCCAGCATGGTTGGCTGGGGAATTCTGGGTATTGGTCCAGAGTAGTCCAGCCCTATTTTGTGGTGTGCTACAGAGCTCAGTACTCTCTCCTCTCCTTTTCAACATCTGTATGAAATCACTGGGCAAGATCATCCGTCACCACAGGTTAAGGTATCTACAATATGCGGATGACTCACAACTCTGTACTCTGTTCTTGGTGACCAAGTGATGCTATAGTTGCCCTCTCGCAGTGCCTGGAGCCTGTGGGAACCTGGATGGGGGAAAACAGGCTTCGACTGAACCTTGGCAAGACCGAATGGCTTTGGGTACCTGAAACTCCAGAATCTGGGACTTTGTCATCTTTGACTCTGGATGGGGTGGCACTGCCTCAGTCAGATCTGGTCTGCAACGTGGGGGTTTTCCTGGACTTGTGACTCCTGCTCAAGGAGCAGGTGGCTGTCGCAGCAAGGAAAACCTTTGTACAACTTCGTGTTGTGCGCTAGTTGCGGCATTTCCTGGATCAGGATTCCCTGTGCTCGTTCAGTTCCTAGTCATCCCATGGTTGGACTATTGTAATGTGCTCTACATGGGGCTACCCTTGAAGAGCATTTGAAGCCTACAACTGGTACAGAGTGCAGTGGCACAGGCAGTTTTTTTGGGGGGAGAATGGCTCCTATAACACCACTGCTTCACAAGCTGCATTGATTGCCGGTCTGCTTCTGAGTGTAATTCAAGGTGTTGGTGATCACCTTTAAAGCCCTTTATGGTATAGATCCAGATTGCTTGAGGGACCATCTCACCCCACTGGGGTTGGCTCATCCCACTCATGCCGGCAGAGAAGGCATGCTGCGGGTTCCATCGGTCTGATTATTCCAGCTGGCAGGATCCAGGAGGAGGGCCTTCTCTGCTGTTCCTTCTGCCCTCTGGAATATCTCCCGCCCCTGTGTGAGGTTGGCCCCAACCCTCCTATCCTTTCATAAGGGCCTAAATACCTGGCTCTGCCAGTTGGCCTGGGGCCCCAATGGGGGACCAGCACAGTGGAGGTGGTTGATCAAGTAACAACAGATTCCACCTCTCCCCATTCCACCTCGGCCCTCCTCACATGTCCTTGATTTTAATCTTGGTTTTAATTTATTCTTATTTAATGCAGACATATTTTTTATATCTGTAAGCCATCCAGAGTTACCTTATGGTAAGCTGGGTGGCCAATACATTTTATAAATAAATAAATAAAATATAAATAAACTGAAATCCACATAACAGTGCTGAAGTTGAGAAACACTGCTTTGGAGAAAAGTCAGATGTCAGCAGTGATTAGGAACAGAGACAATAGATATAAGGACTGCCAGTGAAAACAGCAACTTTCACAGATATTCTTTCTGAAGGGATGGATGGACAGCAGTGGGAAAAGGCCCTTTGTAATTGTACTTGTATATTCTTCTTGTGTTTGAGAAATGAACATAATTGATGCTTACATCAAACAATTTTGGTTAAATTATATATGACAGTAATTGCAAAACAATTGTCTCCAAATGCAAATTTCTTTTTAAATACTTCAGTTCACAGTTAGCTCTATAAGCTCAACAGAAGAATTTGCTCTTCAAGAATATTAATTCTTGTTCATTCCTCTTTAAATTATTTGCCTTAAAATCAGTTGTGCAAAAAAAAAAAAGCCTCAAAATTTACATTTAGCATAGGCACCTCTCGAAGAGCTTAAGCAACTACTTAGAGCTACAGACTAAGTTGATTTAATTATACTTTAATCCCCAAAATATGTAATATAATCACTTTTTAAGAATTGTGTAGCAAAAAATTCTTATATTTTGCACAACATTGGTAAACAGTCCTTCAGATCCTTTTCATTTGCCATTGACATTTGGCAGTAAAACCCATTGCCAAACTTCACTTATCAATGGTTTAGATCCCATGTTCAGTTACTTCAGAGCTCAGGTTAGGAACAGGAAGTTGACAAATGAAAAATATCCATTTTAAGATTCAAAGATGAATTACATTAAAATTTCAGTTACATTTTGGAATTGTCTGTATTTTAAAATACTTTCATTTCTTCTCTGGGATAACCCTATCTGATGATTATGTATTTGTGTTTAAACTACAGTTGCGTTGGAAAAGTATATATTCTTTTCTGGATTTTCTGAATTTTTTATATCTCTGCTGCTGATTGTATCAAAATTATACATGAAAAGGGATTTTGAGGGAAGAAATCACCCAAAGGTTTCAAATTTGTTTAATTTTTTAAAATAAATAGTCATCTGACATGTAATTTGTCAGAGTGAAAAAGTTAATTTCTCTCCTTCCAATTTGGTTGATGTAGTTAAAGAGTTAATTAGGACCAACAAGTATATCAGTAAATTGTCAGCTGATTTGATCCAGCTTTATTCTATATATCTTACACAAACTTTTTTCTTAGTGGCACATTGTGCCTTCCTCAAAAGAAATTTCTGAAGACCTCCAGAGAAATCACATTGATATCTGTCTCTCTGGAAGAAATTACAAAATCTTATATGAAGCTTTGGAATCCACCAATCTATAGTTGGAGACATGATTTTAAAATGAAAAGTTTTGGAACAATAGGGAACAGCTATCTTGTCAAAATCTCTCCAAGAGCACATAATAAAATTGTCCAGAAAGTCACAAAGGACCCCAGAACAATATCCAGAGACATACAGGTTTCTCTAACCTTTGTTAAAATAAGTTTATAGGACTCCAACATCAAGAAAAGAAAACAAACTGAGCAAACATGAAATTCATGGGAGAATAGCAAGACAAAATTCATGGCTCATAAAAGAATATTAATGCTCATCTCAAGTTTGGAAGAAAAATATCTGGATGACTCTCCAGACTTGTGAAGGAATGTTCAGTGGACATTGACTGAATCAAAAGTGCAACTTTTCAAGCTACATTGAGGTTATGGCTGTTAGAAACCAAGCTTGGTATTCCATAACAAGAATCTCATACCACCTGTCAAACATAGAGATGATAGTGTCACAGTTTAGGGACACTTTGCTGCTTCAGAATCTAGATGTGCCATTATTTAAAGGAAGGGGAATTCTGTTTGTTTTAGAGGATTTTTACAGAAGGCTATTAGATCTTCTGTCTCCTAAATGAAGTAGAAACCATGAGGTAAGGGATCCATAACATACAAGGTAGTGATCCCAAACATACAAGTAAGTCTCCAAGAACATGGATAAAGAAAAACAAATGAATTGTTTTTGAATGAAAAATATAAAAGTGATAAACACCACACAAATGTTATAGCAGGCGCCGAAGTATAGGGGTCAGGCTAGGAAACATTCAAATGCTACTGAAATGAAGCAGTTTGCCATGGAGAGTTGGCTAACATTCCTACTTAGTGATGTGAGGGACTGAACATTTGGTTGCAGTTATTGAAGCTGAAAATGGTACAACTAATAACGAAAACTAAGGGGGCAGTGACTCTCACACTGGTATATCACACGCTAGATGACTTTGTTTATGCATTCATTCCTTTTATGTCTCAGTAGATCCACATGAAGAGAGCCAATTTGGTTAAGGGAATCAGGCTAGAATTCTGGAGACCATGAGTTCTTTTGGGTGGCTTTGGGCCCTGTCTCTCTCAGACCTGGGAAAGAGGCAGTGGCAAACCACTTCTGAAAAAAACCTTGCCAGGAAAACTACAGGGATCACGCTTCAGATTTAAAGACACCAAAAAATAAATGTAGTTATAATGGAACAGCAAAGTGGATAATGCTGAAGGATTTTTGTCCTTAAAAGTGTACAATGATGCCCCCTAAAATACTGTATTCTATTAATATTATAGTATAATCACAATATTAAAAAATTAATAACCATTTAAAAGATAGTATGTACTTTTCTAATAAGAGCCTTTTTATTGCAATGAACAAATGCACTTTCACCTTTGTTGCCATTATATTATACTCATTTTGGTTTTAGAAAACAATTATAAAGATTCAAGGCTTACAGTAATTCCCTTTTTGTACATTTGAGTTTACACAGCCCATATTAGATCAATTTGCCTTTGAAATACTAATTGAGCCCACACTTATAAAATAAAGCTGAACAGTTTGTAGAAGAAGGCTAAACATTTAGGAATTTAATTATTTCTATTATTTATCAACTCACGCTTGCAAAGCTGAATAATATCTCCTTTTGCTTATTCATTTACTAATAAGGATGATTCTTAATGTAAACAATACTACTAATTATTATTAGACAACTGTTGCTCAAAATTCTGTTAGCTACAAATAACGCTTAGCAAAAATAATGTAGTTGTAGTTTTCATCTATATATATGTGTGTAGAATGTTTATGTTAGTAGTTCCATAGAGTAAGATAAACAGGTTTTTTAATTATTTATTTTCAGGGCATAGTGTCTATATAGCTCATAAATCCCCAACAGAAATTGAAGGGGCTCGTGAGATTCAAGAAGACAAAGATGTTAAAGTGGAAATACCCATTGATCAGGTAAGTTTAAAATAGATTTTTCCTGAAAGAATTTATTAGAGCTTTGATTCCCAACTGCCCATGTTTGTTTTTCTTTCAGGACTACTAAGAAAGTCAAAACATTTCTGTAAACTGTAAAGGACTTAACATCTTGCCAACTAGTCCTCCATTTCAGATTTTAAGTAGCAGACAACGTTTTTTTTTTGAATGAGGGAGTGTTCTTTTTAAGTGAAAATAAATGAAGGAAAAATACAGCCACCAGTATTAATATGTATACTCAAAAAAATAGTCTACGCTATATTTTCAGAAATAAAATACTACAGATGTGAAAATTTTTAGAAGTCTCTGATTTTGTAGATTCATCTCTGTTTTTGGCATTATTGCATACCTATTGGAATGTTGGCTTAATTTCAGTTCAAGACTCTTGAACACTGACTTATGTAATAAGACAATACTCAAATTCATGCCTTATTTAGTTAAGATGATTTGCAGATGAATGACTTTCCTTACTAGTCTAAAGATGCTATGTAACTATTCCATCTTCAAAGAAGGTTGTTCATAGTTTTGCTGCCCTCTACTGACCAGGTATGGTTATGCCCTCTATTTCAAAGAGGCAGCAGCAAACAATATATTTTCTAATCATTTTTAAACATTTCTACTGGTTGTCTGTTCTTTGGATTTTGATTTTCCATTGTTAGAGGGATAGAATTAGAACAAAAAAAAAAACTTTTTTTCTGACCAAACACAATCATTAGTAAGAACTGGATATTTGATTTGCTTGTACAAAGTATAGAAATCAGTTTTTAAAAAGTGAATAGAACGTGGCTTATTTACTGATTGTGAGAAAGTTATGCCAGAAAGCTTATATTTTGTTTTTTTTTTCTGCAGATCATAACTGGATTTTATTCTAATAAAGTCTATAGCTGAGGTTTTCCAGATCAAGAAAATTTATTCATATCCTGGATTACAATAAAACATACTAGTTTTCTTAACTGTTTTTGCAACACTGGAGAGTAATATAAGGAATTTAAACTCCAGTGCTTTTAATGGAAATAAATCACTGTTTGTCTTTTTTACCTTATTTGTGATAAAATAATGTAGGGTGAATTTCATTTGACTGAACTGTGTATATGCAAATCTTAAATAGATTTTATTTCTAACCAAGGCTGTAGCTGAAAGTGAAAGTTAGAAAAGATATTTGCATCCTGGAATTAGAAAAGAGCAGGTTAGTTTTTGTTAATTGTTTTTACAGCTTTTGAATCGGTATTGTTTGTTTCAAATGAAATCTCAGGTGTAAATCCTTGTTTGTCAGTTTGTTAAAAAAAATATCATGACGTTTGCAACAGTTTTTGTGTTTATATTGTTAATCAAAAGAAGTGAGTCATAGGTTTGCTACGTAGAAAGTTTATTCCTCAATAAGGAAAATAGCTGGCTACTCCCCCCCCCCCCAATCTGTAGTTTTAAAAAGCTGAAAGTTGTTTACTTTTATTTATATAACATTGAATTGGAATTTATGTTATCTAAGGTTCCAGCTGAGATCATCCAGGATGAGGAGATTTATGCAGATCCTGGGAGTTTTAAAGTGCAGGTTTGTTTTGTTTTGTTTTTTAAAGTAATGGGGAATGATATTAGATATGTAAAAAGAAATCCTGATGATGATTTAAAGCTTTTTTTCATTTTAAAACCAAAAATAATCTTAGCAATTAAAATCATTTAGGACATTTGTCATTTGCATTTTCTGTTCATAAGAAGCGGCTTTCAGGGTTGCTAACGAAGGGCAAAAGGTAATGGGTTTTTATAAAAAATAACAGAACAAAGTTACCTTTCTTTAATTCATGATAATATAGGAAAACTTTGATTTATTTCCATCTTTTATGCAAATATAACTAGAATTTATCTTACCAAGGCTCCAGCTGAGATTGTTCAGGATGAGACAATTGATGCTAAGAATATAGAGGAACAGGTCAGTTTGACTTTTGTGTTTTTATAATACCAGAAAGCAAACTTTGATATTTAACATGAAATCTCAGTTTTGAGTGCTTGCTTCCTAGTTGTTAAAAAGAGAAATGAATGTAAAAGAACCAGAACTTCTGATATGTGATAATTGATCTGATTAACAACTGGGAAAAAAATCAGCACATTTTGCCAATCACTTCAGCTGAAGGGGGTAGCATAGCTTCAGGAAGATTGAGTTCTATGTGCTTAATAATTCACTGTTCGATGGTTTAGGCATATGTTTATGTTGCAAGTGGGCACAATTATATGATTTATAATTAATTTTCTTTTCAGTTTTTAACATAAAAATATATAGTATACATTATGTATAATTTCAGTTTCATTTCTACCTTACTCAACACATTCGCAGCTTTAAATATGTACATATATTCAACAGCTTTTTTAAAAAAAACACATAATAGCTCAGTCTGGTCTATGCAAAAAGCTGTTGAATCTATAGAGATTCTCAATCATCCAGGTCAAGGTTGTCCCAAAGGTGCTTTTCCAAAAGGCAAGTGGGCTTTCTTGTTTTTGTTTTTTTCCCCTTTGTAAATGTTTTATTTCTCATCCAAAAACTGAAGAAGCTTCTTGGATGAGAAGCGAAACATTTTCAGAGAAAAAAAACCAAGAAAGTCCAAGTGCCCTTTGGAAAAGTATTTTTGGGACAAGCTGTTGAATCACAATGACAAAAATAGTGTAGCCCCCCCCCAAGTTTCAGCCATTTGGGACATGCATGCAACATTGCATGGAACAGGGATAGGGCTTGCATCACAACATTATAACACATCTTTGATCAGGCTGACTCTCCTTATATGGTGCACAAGGCTACATAATTCAGCCCTGGTAGATGGTCATCCACTGAGGACAGAAGCAGTCTCTTATGGAAAGCGAAAACATGATTTTATCCATAACAATTTTGACCATTGTCTCTTTGACCTTCCTCAAGTATCATGGAAAATAGGGGAGAGCGGACACTCTTTCTTGCCACAGTTGTTAAGTGAACCATTGCAGTTGTTAAATTAGTAACATGGTTGTTAAGTGAATCTGGCTTCTCCATTGACTTTGCTTTTCAGATGGTCGCAAAAGGTGATCACATGACCTTGGGACACTGCAATAGTCCTAAATAGAGGCCAGTTGCCAAGCATCCAAACTTTGATCACGTGGCCATGGGGATGCTGTAAAGGTCATACATGTGAAAAACGTATGGTCATAAGTTTGAAATGAGTCATAAGTGTGAAAAACTTTTTTCAGTGGCCATTGCAACTTCGAACGGTCACTGAATGAACGGTTATAAATCAAGGACTACCTTTGTTTGGAGCAAGTGGTTGCTGGCTCCAAGCTACACGAGACTTTCAAGGTTATAACCAGCGCACAGTAATAAACCAGCAACCAATACACCATCCATAGGACTGATGATACCTGACTGCTTTGGGCCATAAAGCATGAGCACCAGTGCTTAAGACACAAGATTGTTTCAGTTTTTATACAGGCTTCATCTAGTCTGTTATTATTCTAACATACATCTAGGTACTATTCATTTTTACTGCATGATATTTTTTAAATAACAGTGACCCAGAATGTAGTGAAGAAGCTAGGTATTGTTCCATATAGAACCTACAATAAAATAAAAGCTCTACTCAGCTATAATGGATGTGGATAAGATGTAGCAAATGTACTTCTTAGTTTTAAAGACTAAAAAGTGGAAAGGTTCATTTTTACTGTTTTTTTTTCATGTAGGCAAAAGAAGGTGAGCAACTGCAGGTCAGTGTTAAACATTTTTTTTTCCAGTTGTTAAAACTTACAAAATAGCAAAATCTGAAATTCTTGGGTTGGGAAATTATTGACTTCCTTTTGCTTTATTGTCTCTTTATAGTGGCTAAATTGACATGGAAGCTAATTAGGGTCACTTCTGATTATTGCATGGATAGGAGATTACCTTGAAATCCCTAGCTATCCGTCTAGGTTGAAAGTAAAAATAAATCTTAGAAGAAAGCGATTAACTAATTATTCCCCTTCAAATTACATGGATATGTCACTAGGAGTCTAGTTCAACTTCAAGGAGACATTATTATTTTTTTTGTTTACAGTAAGCATTTCTTCAGGTGAGTTAGTTTATTAAATCAGAAAATAAAACACCATCTTTCATATTGCTTCCACCACAGAACAGAGAGAATCGACTCTTATGCATCTCACTTTTCCATATATTCAGTTGTGATCTCAGATTAATTTCATAGGGAAAAAGTGACTATAGAAGAGATAAATTACAATCTTGCTTGGTCAATCACAACTGATATATCAGATTAGGGGAAGCATTGACAGGATATTGAGGAAGTAGTCTACCAATTTTAGCTTCTACAGTACGGTGCAATCTTTGTTTTTTTAGCAAATATTTATAATATATCGAATTGAAGCTAGTACTGTGTTACAAATAAAGGAAAGCCTTTTCCATGGTTCTTTAAAAATTATAATTTTTACATAGCCTCAAGTTTGATCATTCCTTTAGGGTATTTGGAATAAATAAAAACATATTTTTCATAATTTTGAATAAGCAGAAGGTTTCTTTTAAAATCCTAACTCAATGATATTGTCTAAAAGATCACTAATGATTTCATTGTCTGGTAAAATTATTTTCCTTCTGTTAAGATTCAGTTTTAAAATAAGAAACCTTATAGATATATAGGTCTTTTCGGTGGGTCTAAGTGCCTAAATTTTCCTGTATTATCTATAGCATTATATAATCTGTAAAATATTTGCTTTGGCAACAGTTAACAAAACATTTGCTTCTATTGGATTAAGCAAGGAATGTGGTTTAAATACTTGATAAAATCCATAGGAATAATTTATTACTATTGATTACTTCAGCAATCCACTATCAGCGAAAGAGTATCTTTCAATTAATAATGCCAAATCTGCCAATAAAGTGCACATTGCTTGATGAAGCATTTTGTCTCCCACTGAAATTCTGTGACTTTAAAAAATTAAATCTATATTGATTTTCTAATTGGTTTTCCATGCACTACCCACAAATCCTTTTAAGTGAATATTGCTGCTTATTTTCAGGACACAGCTTAGTCCTGCTATTATATATTTTAGAATTGCTACCAAAGATTATCTGATATTAATTCACTGGAACTGTTATGCATCAGCTGAAATCTGAAAGACGTGTAGAAATAACTTGCAATTAAAGTTTTTAATCTAGGCTGCATACAATAAGAATTTTGGCACAATTCTACACATACCCATTACTGTAACAATTGTATGTAGAATATTGTAATGTCATGAATAGCTAATATGCTTGAGAAATATTTATGCTGAATATAAACTATGTCTAGATATAAATATTCCTAAAGATTTTCGAGTAAGATTTTCAAAAGAAAATTGGTTGAATCCTACATTTAATTCTGCTGATGAAGAAAAATGTAATTAATACATTTTTTAAAGTTTCTATTTCCTTGTTTTAAAGAATGTCATGCATTCTTTTATTCTGCATTTAATGTACAACTTATTATTGTTCTCAAACAATCCCATCCTGTATCCCTATTCAGTCTTTGCAATCCCACTAGATATATTTCAATTTTTTGCATTAGTCATTTGATTTTGAAGAATACAGACTATTATATAATAAGTCTCTGCTATGTGACATAAGGCGGCCTTGGTAAAGTTAGCACTACTATAAATCAAAATTATTTTTCACTTAAATTTCTGTCTCAAAACTTTTGAGTTCAAAATGGTGCAAATTCAAAATATTTTCTACATTATTGGGAAGACTGGGATCTATGTGAAATGAAAGAAAAATCATATGTTTATTACCAGTTGGCCCAGCACTCCTTACTGTATTCTTCTGGAAAATCTGCCACTTCTCAGGAGCAGTGGCTGCAGAAGTTTCAGCAGGAAAGAAAAGAGGAAAGAGCCAGGAAAGCCATCTCCAACTGTGTCTATTTTTTTGAGTGTGTGTATTGGTGTGTGTGCGTGTGTGTGTGTGTGTGTATGAATATTTATATATTTAATATGGCATTATATAATAATTAATGACACATATTTTATATAATATATCACATTAATACCTAATCTTAATATAATTATATTGTAATATATTTCCATAATATTTTAATGGTGTGTGCGTATATGTACGTGTAGAGGGGCGTGATAGCTCAGTGGTTAAAGATGCTGAACTTGTCAGTTGGAAAGCTGACTGTCTGGGTTCAAGACCTGAGCACTGTGTGATGGGTTGAAATCTCATACTTGCCCCAACGCCTGCCCATTAGCAGTTTGAAAGCGAGCAGAGTGGAAGCAGATAAATAGATACACACTTCAGTGCGAAGGTAACAGTGTACTGTGCTGCTCGGCATATAATCATGCTGGCCACATGACCACAGAAAATGTTTTTTGACAAAGCTGGGTCCCTTGGCAAAGAAATGGAAATGTGCACCATGCCCTAGAGTCAGACACGATTGGACTGGGAAACTTTTACCCTTACCTTTATATGTATATGTATGTATGTATATACTATATATGTTAAAAATAACGTTAAAAATAGAAGAGTAACGATTCCTGGGTATATACATAATGATAAAAAAGGCGTTCACCAGGAGATAAAAACAATACAGTTTTAATAGATAAAACCAAGCTTTCGATGGCTAGGAATCTGCCATCATCGTCAGGGTGCAAACCAACCGGTAAGGAAACTTGCTTATGAGTACAGCCGCGCAAGGAGACTAGAATGCGGGTGTGGCTGTACTCATAAGCAAGTTTTCTTACCGGTTGGTTTGCACCCTGACGATGATGGCAGATTCCTAGCCATTGAAAGCTTGGTTTCATCTATTAAAACTGTATTGTTTTTATCTCCTGGTGAACGCCTTTTTTATCATTATACTATATATGTGTGTGTACACACACGCACATACACTTCATTCATTCATTCATTCATTCATTCATTCATACATTCATTTATAAAATTTGTATGCTGCCCATCTCACTAATAAAGTGATTCTCGGCTACTTACACTGTATTGAAAAGATACAGGAGATAATATAAAGTGATTAAAATTAAGAGGTTTAAATAGAATTAAATAAGATTATGCACACAAACATATAATTATATATATATATAATTATATATAATATAATTTTATATATACTGTATATATGTGTATATATATACAGTATATATAAAATTATATAATATATAATATATAATATATATAAAATTATATTATATATAATATATAATATATATAACAAATTTGCTGTTCCATAGTTAGGATTTTCATGATCTCTAATGACTGATTTCTGTTACAGGAGAAAAAAGGTCCTTTCAAAAGAATGTTTGGATTCTTTTTCAGTAGATCAAGGAGAAAAGGTATGTCGTATTTATTGTTTCAACATCGTAAATGCCTTCAGATATACAACTTCACATACAACCGATCAAGTATTATTACTGCATTCATAACATCAACAATGGACAGTATGATAGATCCTTAGGAAAATTTCACATATAGGAAAGAAGTTATTTTCTCTTGGCTAATTTCAAAGTTAAGTATTTTGAGATTCAGGACAGATTCAGTGCTTTTTGATATAGCACAGTTTGTGGAATTTGCTGCTTAAAATTTAGTGATGGCCAAAAGTCTGTGTGGACTTAACTAGAAGTAGACATACTGAAAGAGAGTAAGGCTGTCAGTCACTGATACTCCTTCCTTTCTACTCCCTTCTTTTGTGGGACAGTGTATTTTTTGTGCCACTTGCAGTACGTGAGATGCCTGATTTTATCCAGCTCATAGGCTATTCAACAGGTAGAGCAAAATTGTGGATTAGCTGGGTCAGCTTTTCACATCTTAGCTCTTGGCTGTTATAATTAGTAAGAGGTTTATACCTGTAGTCATCTCGGCATTCTTTGATCAGTCCTTACTTTGTGGATATTTTGTAAGATGAGGCAGAACAGTGTGGCCTTCAATGTACCATCTGAGCCTTTCTTTGAAAGTATTTTCTTCTTTTTATGAAATATATTTTTCTTGTTCCCTTTTAATATTTAGCTATGTCACATCTTCCTTAGAGCACTGGCATGCCTTAGCAGTCAGTTTAAGATCTTTGATATGTTTACATAAGTATTTATTACATTAATTCTTTATATTTTTGTGGATGCATTTAACATTTTCTTAGGTTTTCATCGAAAAGTGAATAGTATAAAATGGAGAGGAGTTGTTTACTGCCCCCTCTGGTAGCTTGCACAAATGCTTATTTGACCCATAGGTTAAAAAAAGTCACACAAAAAATGGCCTCTTGGTCATCCGGTTGCGGAAGGTGGGATGAACCTTGTGTCTTTGAAAATACAGTTGGGAAAAAACAGTTAAAAATCCCAGAATGTAAATATACCATTGAGAACAAAAGAGTGACCATTTAGATGCTAGCAGTCATTGCTATGTGGGTTATGCAAAGCATTCCATGTATGAATCTTTTGACATGTGCAGCAAATAGTTTGGGGTTCTAAAACATGTGAGTTTAGATGTTTTGCTGCAGATGGGAATCAAAATTCAGTTCTGGGTAGAAAAGTTCCACTTTTGCTTTAGCTGTTGCTGTGATTGGAAGTAGTAGCCTTACTTCTCTTGTCTAGTAAAGAGTGTAGCAAAGCCTTAGTAAAGAGACCATTTGTGTTTCTCCTACTATTCACATAGGTTGGTGGGGGAGGGGTGATCTGAGTTGAGTTCTGGGGCAAGGCATTTGGTGGGAAGCTATTGTGGCTTTGTCTCTGGAAACTGATTGAAGAAAGAGCGACACAGAGGAAGAAATTACTGCGAGGGACCATTGGATCCAGCACTGGAATGGCACTTCTGCCCAAGGGCTAATGACTGGCGGTAAGTACCCGGTTGCTCGCCGGCCTGCCTCAAAGGCGACCTACACCACCTTAACTTAATTTACAGGTAAATTAAATTAAATCAATTTATGACCAGAATTTGAGCCCCAGATTTCCATTGCTAAGCAAGGTAGATGTTAAGTGAGTTTTGCCCCATGTTACGACCTTTCTAGCCACAGTTGTGAAGTGAATCACTGCAGTTGTTAAGTTAGTAACACAGTTATTAATTGGATCTCATTTCCCCATTGACTTTGCTTGTCAGAAGGTCACAAAAGGTGATCACATGACCCCAGTACACTGCAACCGTCATAAATATGAGTCAGTTGCCTAGCATCTAAATTTTGATCATGTGACTGCGGGGATGCTGCAGTGGTTGTAAATGTGAAAAATAGCCATGTCAGTTTTTTTCAGTGCTGTTGTAATGGTCACTAAACAAATAGTTGTGAGTCGAGGACTACCTGTATATATGTGTATATATATATTTGCTTCAGTTTTGATTCAACATCCTGTGATGGTTTGAGGGAGGGAGGGAGGGAGGGAGGGAGGGAGAGAGAGAGAGAGAGAGAGAGAGAGAGAGAGAGAGAGAGAGAGAGAGAGAGAGAGAGAGAGAGAGAGAAGGATTTCCTTTATCTTGTCCCATTTCTCTGTCTGCAAGAGATCAAAAACAAAGAACTTCACATTCTTGCCTCATTCCTTTCCGTTAAAATATTTATACTTTCTGGGAATACGTTACTCTGAATTCAAGGAAGAATAGGGTAATGCTAGTATTGTAAAGCAGTGCTGGACGTTAAGAAGCATAATCTTTAAAGTGATTTGGAATCCCAGTGAGGTTGATATCGGACTTGTTCTTTATCAAGTTTTATGAGTATCATTAGTTACAAATTTTAAAAATTAAGATCATACATGATTTGACTCATATATAGTTAGAATATTATTGTCAATCCATTCCTATCCATAGCTATTCATAATTACATATGGTCTATACAGTCAAAAGATATTAAACAAAAATCTTTTTGGCAGTCTTTTGCATTTTCCATTATCCATTGAATATTAGCACTGAATTTTCAGTGGCCCTGCCTCTTCTGAACCCAATAATATATATATTATTGTGCTATAATGTGATATCAGTTCAATTGTCATTAGAATGTTCTAAGTCCTAGAATAAAATAAATGCTTTCCAGGTTCGTGGCCTCTGCTGTGTTTTCTGTACTTCCTTAAAATCCACATGTATCACTTTAACTGCATCATCTCTTAAGATTTTGAACAGTTTTGCTGTACTTCATCAATTCCTACAGGTTTGTTGATTGCAATATATACTTTTTGATAGTAATTTTGTTAAAGATTAGAAGTTACAACAGTAAAAACTAAAACAAGCTAAAAAAAGAAAAAGAAAAAATAGAAGGTGCAGGAAAGAAGAGAAAAAATAGAAAGAAAAATAGAAAAGAAAGAAAAAAATAAAAGATTTCCAGTCTTGCGTCGTAGCGACATGGCTGAGGGTTTGCAGGGCTCCGTACCCCGCGGCTGGTTTCGCCCTGCCAGGGACCCTAAATGGGTCCAAAGTTACCCCGGAGAGGCTGCAAAGGAGCCCCTCCGATGATTGCAGAACAATGGCGGTCGATCCGTTTGATCTGGGGGAAGCCCTCCAAGCCAACAGGAGAAAGCCTAGTTACACCTTGGTGACTAGCCCAAGCTGAAGTCCAAAAGCACTAACCACAACAACGGTGAACAGCGTGCTTGGAACTGGGTGAGAATATTGATCTTCTTTCTTTTATTTTGTAACTGGTTTCCTAGAAAAGATCCCAAAGAAGCAAAAAATCCTCCGAAAGTTAGAAGGGAGGGGACCACATCCCCACTCTTCCATAGAACGGAAGTGGCAATTTAATTTTTATGGGGACAGAAATATATTGAAATGAAGTTAATAATACTACAGTCTGGATAAATCTGAAAATTATGAAAAAAAGAGTATTGATGAAAATACAAGAACATAATTATTTGTTTTAAAAGTTGGAAAATGAATAGCTACTGACATCTAGTGGAAGATTAGAGTACAGAACAGCAGCTGCATTGACTCAGAAATTGGCAAGACGCCCAGAAATAAAGAGCAACTTGTTCCTTTGAACCTCAGTGACTTCTAGCTAAATAAAGAACAGCTGGGAACAAAATACATTGGGTCACCTACTACAGAGTGAGAACTATATTTGTTTTTTTAAAAAAAACTGCTGACCTTCTGGGATTATAAATACTTACTGAGCTGTGATCTCTAAGCTCAAGAATTGCTTGCAGAGAAAGAAAAAGTTGACTTTTGGCTAATCTTCTGGGAGGAATTTACTGGAAAGCTATTAGGTGGTTAAACATTCTGGACTGCAATTTTGGCTGGCTGATAATTGTAAGACCCCTGAATAGAAGAACTGTTATAAAATACTGTTTTTAGTGGTGCTTGGGCAATTGGAAACACATTGGATTATAAAAACCATATATAAATATAAGAACTATACAAGATTTGGTTGTTTGGACTTTAAGATTGGCTGGTTTGACATGGCTAATCACAGAGAATATGGTACTGGTGAAAGACTATCTGGAGGGGGAAGACAAAATGGATGTTGCACACCTATCTAAAAGTGGCAGGAAAACACACCTAATATCTCCTTCTGAATGCCCTAGCCTGGAACATCAGAGATCTGCAGGAGCAATACTCCAAAACAAGGCAAATAGTTTCAAGGAGGAAATGTATACAATGCTGTGATAGATTCAAATGACAATGATTTCAAACCATGATGAGATTAAAAACAACTTTGATGACATAAATGAGCACATCTTTAACCTAAACTTACAATTAAAAATCTCTCAGAAAACAACAACAAAGAATGAACAAACAAACCAGATAGAAGAACACAAACCAGAGGACAGTGACCCAAAGAGGGAAGTTACAAATGAAGAGAACCACAGCTTAATACAAACAATAGAAAACTTGCAAGATTTTGCCGCAACAATGGAAATGGAAAAGATATTTTATTTTTCAGGGCTTCAAAATAAACTTGAAGATAGGAAAGAAGTTCTAACAAAATGGATTATAGAGCAGCCAAGAGTATCATTAGAGTTTGGGAGACAAAAAATGCACATCCTACCTAACTTGTCTTTCCTATTCCCAACAACACTCACAAAAATACAGAAAAAATCCCCTGGCAAGCTGAACAAACTGACTTGGAAAGCTACTTGGCAAAAGAAAGAAGGCTAGAGTTAGATTCAAGAGATTTGATTCGACTTACCAGATGGAACACTATATGATTAAACACTTGTTTGAATATGGTTAAAAGAATTAATAAATTATGGATATAAAGAGGCCCTATAGTAAAAGGGATAAGATATGCAACCAGTATAGTACTTTTTATAATATATGAAATGTAAGAATATTGGGATGGTGTATATGAATGAAAAGTTTGGATTTTTAAAGATAATTAACTTTGAGAAAATTATGACTGATAAGAATGGTTTGAATACAGAGGGGAAATTAAGCTTAAATAAGAATCTTGAAAACAGGATATATAGTGACTTAATAAGATGACTTTTATAAATACAATTGAAACAGGCTGATTAGAAAAGATATTATATGCTAATGTTACTGTTATTTGTACAAACACAAGAAAAATGTTTATATCCATCCTTGTATGTATCGAAAGTATTAAGAATTATATTTGCTTAATGTTGACAAAAGGAGAATATTACTGGAAGAAGAGAAGATCAAGGAAAATATCATTAATATATTGATTATGGAATTATAGAAATTAATTATTATTGATTGTTTTTTAAATATATGAACCCAGACAACACGCTGTTTACTAAGCACTAAAAATTGTTGTTGCAAAAAATCAATAAAATATATTAAAAAAGATAAAATAAGAAAATAGTAAAGCAAAATAAAATTTACTTTTCTCCCAAGTATAATTTTTTTAATAACTCATCACCTTCTCTTAAAATACAGCAAATGAACTATATATCTATACCACGGGTGTCAAACATGATCGCGTCATGTGATGTATCGTGACATTTTTTGCCTTTGTGGAGCCGGGGTGGGTGTGGCCTGCGCATGACGCATCTGGCCCATGGGCCACCAGTTTGACACCCCTGATCTATAGTCACCTACAACCAAATCCATATAGCCCTTTTTAACAGAGCTGTGTTCAGTTAGCATTTCTTCCCTGGAAGTCCTTATGCTTCATTTTGTACAATGAAAACAAATTCTCAGTTTATTTCATATATTGTTTTACCTTCAACTTTAGCATTTTTGGTGTTGTATTGAAAAAAAAATTGAACTTTCAGTATCAATTTATCCTGAATTTGTGCTTGGAGCATATTCATGGAGCGTCCCCAGTCTGAAAGATTTAATTCAAATTGAGATCATTCTATTATTTTTGGGTTGCATCTGAACACTAATATTGCTGATTGCTCAATTTCGTCTATGATTTTCTTGTTTGAGATAGAAGGTGCTCCTCTAATATTATTCATTTATACAATGTATAGGGCCCAATTCCCAATGACTTTGGGTGGCTTACAGTTAAAAAGTAAGAAAAAAGTAGAAAAAAATGATAGACCAAAAGCAACATATAACTAGAACCCCTTTCCAGCAGGGGCTCAAGCTTCAGTCTGCCCTAAAGCCAAGGAGAATAGTCTGGTCTTTAATAGCTTCCGGAACTTCATCAGGGTGGGAGGCTCCAAATCTCTAATATGATCAATTAGATCAATTAATTTGCTAATTTCCAGAATATCAATATTTAATTAATGCTTAGTCTGACATTTCAGGTCTGCCATCAAGCTTGCTTTTGTTGATGATTATGACATGTTCCGTTGATTGTATGTGTATGTATGCAGCAGAAGCCACAGATTTGCTCCCTTGCATTGAATTCAGAGCTTATGATCATTCCAAAGTTATAGCAAAGAGAAAACTAGGCATGAACATTAAGTAGTAAAGAGTCTTAAATAATTCAGTTAATAATTCAAAGAAGTTTTTCTTCACAGTGAAAGAGGCAAAAACCCCTTGCAGCATCAATCCTCCCATTCTGTAATTCAAGAACTTCAAAGCTTCCCCCCCCCCCCAAATGGACGTGGCTTTATGAACTAATTTCTGTCATGAATGAGGCTCTGTTGTTTTAGACCAGGGTGTCAAACTGCCAGCC